CCTATTAAGGGTGGGGCACTTTTAAAGCAGAGATCAAAGATTTCAAGTCTTAGAAAAATCCGAACATTTTCTCATTCAACGATAGAAAGTTTCTTTTTACTTTAAGTGTGCAGTACCTCCTCCTGCTTGTTACCATTAAATAGGACAAGCTACTACATATAAGCATACCAAACTAAAGAGCTTTTGTACAGGAAATCTTGTTCAGTGAGGAACCAAAAAATTCCCATAAGGCAAAAGAACAAAAAGAGCCTACTCTATAGAAATTGGAAAAGAAGTAAATATCTCTAGAATAAAGACAATTAATGTTTCAGTAAATTACAAGTATACTGATTTCCTACAGTCCTTGACAATTATTTCTGTACTTTAAAATAATAGGTTGTTTCTTTCAATAAATTAGCAATGGTATCATCACAAGAGCATTCTTAAGACTATGTCAAGATTCCATAATGTGACTTCAGAATAAGAAATTTAATAAATTACTAGAGCATTGGAAATATCATCATTGAATTTAATTCTGAAGAGTGATTTTGTCAAAGAGATAGTTGCTGGTTAAAGAAAACATCACTTTTGAGCACCTGATGTAATTGTACATTCCTTATTCATGAACTACTATGTCCTTTTAATTAAATATTCCTTTTCTTATTTGTTGGTTTCTTCTTGCAATTTCCTTTGTCATTCACCATTCTTTTGCTCAGTCTGTCCATGTCTGCCCTTCTTTCATCACTGCATCTAGATCTCAGGGCTGATTATTACGGCCATTCCAGGGACATGTATAAGTGGTCATATGGACAGTGACAAAGAAGAATTAAGAAAAAAGAAGATACAGAATATTGTCAAAGGTAAAGAAGATTTTTTAAAAATGGAATGACGTCCTGTGAAAATAGAATGAAAGACTTTATGTTGTTAAATAACCAAGATTCCCCAAATTGTTCTACAAATTCAATGTAATTGTGTCAAAATTCCAACAACTTCTTTTACAGAAATGAACAAGCCTATCCTAAAATGTTTATGGAAGATAGGCCATGTAGATCAATGGTAAAGTTGCTTGTTTAGTGTGCTAGAGCTCCAGATTCCATGTCCTGTGCAAAAACTAAAATGTATGTGAAAATAAAAGATTATAAATAGCCAAATCAATCTTGAAGAACACAAATGGAAGAATACTAGGAAATTTCCTCAGTCCTAAACTTACAACAAAGCTATTGAAGGCAGGAAACTATGACAACAGATAAGAACAGATGGATAAATTAATGGAATAGGACTGATCATTCAGAACTAAACCCAGACAGCTACAAACAACTGAGTTTTGACAGTGAATAGAAGAACAGTCTTTTCAACAAATAGCTCTGGGACTGGACACATACATTCAAAAGAATGAAATTAGACCCCTACTCTTACTATGTAAAAAAATTAAATCAGCACTAGTTACAGACTCACATATGAAAGTTAAAGAGAGAAATCTCTTAGAATAAAACTTAGTTGTAAATCTACATGAATTTGGATTAGCAGTTTCTTAGACATGATACCAAAGATCAAAACTGAATGATTAATTATTACAATTAGGCACTTTTGCATCTCAACAGACACTATAAAAAGAATGCAAATTCAGCTCTCAGAATGAGAGACAATCTCGAGGAATCACATATCTGACAAGAGTCTAATATCCAAAATATGTGAAGAAGGTTCATGACTCTGTTTCAAAAACACAAGTAACCCAATAAAAAATGGACAAACAATTTAAATATAAATTTCCCCAAGGAAGGTGCAAAGGACCAATAATCACATAAAAAATCTTCTCAGCACATTAGTCATTAGCAAAGTACAAATCGCAACCACATGTGATATTATTAGGATGGCTATAATCAAAATAGAAAACTACAAGCATTAGGGACAATATGAAGAAACTGGAACCACTATACAATGCTTACAGAAATGAAAAATGATACAGATTTTTGGAAAACAGTTTGGCAGTTTCTCAAAACATTAGACACATATTAACCTTATGATCTGGGGAATTCCAGTCTTAAGAGAAATTAAGAAAATTAAAACCTTATGTTTGCATAAAAACTGATGCACAAATATTTGTTCCTAAAGTGTTATTCATGACAGCTGAAACATAGAAACCACTCAAATGTCTATCAACTGATGAAAAGAAAAACAAGAAAGTATATATCAAAAATGAAATACTATTCGGTCATAGAAAGACATGAAGCATAAAACTGCTATAATATGGATGAACCTTGATAATAACCACATATATGTAACTATAGGTTAGAAAGAGAAAGAGGACAGGAAAAAATAAGATTCACCAATTGTTGCAGGATCTTTTGGGGCAGTGATAGAAATGTCTTGGAATTAGAAAAAACAATATTTGCACTACACAGTTAATATACTAATAACTACTGGATTGTATACTTCAAAATAATGAATTGTATGTCATATGAATTCTATATTTATTTTTTAAAAAGAATTAACAGTTCATTTTGCATTTCATAACAGTTACTTATCCATAATTTAAACAACAAAGTAAAAGTGATATTATTCCTAGGGCCTACATAAGAAATTGAAGAGCTCATGAAGAGTTTTGGGGAGTATATCATATACTACTGCATAATTATATAATATATACATAGCAATATATATTGTAGCATATATTATTTAGGTACTATGTTAAATATGTTGCCAAGGGTTAGCTTTTAAGTGTCACCTAGGTTTTTCCTTTTTAGTTCCCTTCCTTTCATCCAGTGGTTTATATAAATGCACTATATTAAAGAGAAATCAACTCAGTTCACCAAAGAAAAAAGAGGTTCTATTTTTTAATTTGTACATTTACCTAAGAAGCCTCTATCAACAAGTACCAAAGAGCAGACAAGACAGAACTCATTTATGGTTTGTGCCAACACGGTTATGAAAAAACTTGGAAAGTGGTAAGTAGGGCTTTGAAAATTGAATTTGGAGGGCCACAGACTGCAAAGTGCTGACCCTTTCTGTTCCTCTCTCATTGTCTATTCTTTCTCACTTCCTCACGGAATTTGGAAATATTGGGAAAGATTTCTCAGAAACAGTTAGTGACATGAAGATGCATAGCAAGACATTTATTGATAAATGCCTATGGGTTAGTATCTATAGGAGGGGGGTTTGGAGTTTGGGAAGAGGTGAGCTTTGGTACCATTCAATATCCCTCAAGCAGCCCCAGGATATCTGGATACCCCAGCATCAAGAATGCCTACACCAACATGTCATTACTGATGAGCTGATGAGCTCATAAATGTATGTGAAAATAAGGTAATGGAAGGTATGGAAGGTAATTTCTGCAGAGGAATTCAGCTAAGAGACTAACCATCATAATTACTAGCAGCTACTAGAATCTACCCTAATGAGCTCTGTCCTCTTGGAAGGAAGTTGGACAACATTCACGGTATCCATTATATGATAGGGTATATATGGGAAGATGGAGTCATACTCTTGTGTTGGATTTTATTATAAGGCTGCTATAATTCATCTCTAAAATGCCCCCCAAAGCATTACGTGCTCATAGGTGGGGCTTTTGGGAGGTGGCTGGATCATAGGTGTTTGACATTGGCTCATGGGTGCCTGATACTGGATAAATTCACTGCTGAGTTTATACTGTGTGGGATGTTGGGGGGAAGCCTGCTAGGAAGAGATAGGTCATTGGGCATGGCCTGGAACTGCGTATATTCTCCTCCTGCCTTGATCCTGCTCTGCTTTCTCCCTCGCATACCACACACTGTTTCTCTGCAGTGCCCCTCTGCCATGCCACCCTGCACTGGAGACTGAAACCTCTGCAAATTGAGCCAAAATAATCCTTGATTACTTTAAATTGTAGATGTCTGTTATCTTATTCCCACAACAAAAAGTAACTAAGGTGAGAACACAGAAATATCTAATTGTGTTTGATAGAAAGTTGTTGTGATCACCCTTCTATAGCTCTTCTATATTAAATTGGCCTTGTGGGGAGACCTAGGGTTCCCAAGAACTGAGAGGAAGCTAAAACACAGAGCATCCTTGGTGAAAGAGCAAGAGAATGGGGACAATCCGCTTCATTGGTGCCCATCTGAGGGACCAAAACCCATCAAATAAGCCCCCAGATAGAACTGTTATGAACTGCAGTATAAACTCCTAGAGGGTGGAACAGCAGTATCCATGACAAAATAAGAAGGGAAGAGGACCCCCATATAACTCTCCACTTCCACAATACACCCCTCAGAGCCCTCAGGAAAGCACACTTTTCTTTTGTTAACCTTCTTGTAGGATTCCTAGATGTAGGAATTTTAAGTCAGAATAAAAAGAGAAAAATGATCTAAGAATTATTAACATGAATATTACAATGGCAATACAATATTAATAGTAAGTCTGACCTAATATTTACCTTTAAGTGACTGGTTTCAAATACAATGTCTGAAAAACTACAGAACTTGCCTGTGTACATAGTACCAGTTACACCGTGTCTTATGAACTTAATTCCTTCCATGATTTCTGGGTTGCAAACCAAATAGAACGAGAACTGAATCAAATTTCCCTATAAGGTCAACATTGAACCTCACCATTGAATTGATTCAGTTATCTTCCAGTTTGTTTTGTGACTAGAATCTGGAAAGAATAAAGTTTGTGGACCAAGGCATAAATTTAGTTTTCCTACGGCCAGGAAGTCTCATAGTGACACCATTTTATGTGGTATGTGTTCGGCCTTAGAAACGTGCATTTGATGTGTACCTGTTGTATGCCTGACCAATTATGTCTCTCACTTTAAAAAAAAAGAAATTGGGACATTATAAAATGTACTTTATATCAAAATTGACAGTAAGTGGCAAATCTATGATTACAACCAAGGCTAATTTCAATGTCTTTTAAATATTCTACAGTACCTCCTTGAGAGTTTATTGAGATTGTAAACACACTAGGTGTCTTATTGCATTTGTGCTGCTGTAACACAATACCATAGGCTAGGTACTTTATAAACAAGGGAAACTTATTGCTCACACCTCTGAAGGCTGGAAAGTTCAAACTCAAGGTGTCATCAAGTTTGGTGTCTAGTGAGGGCTGCTTAGTCCAAGATACCTGTTTCTTTCAGTATCCTCCAGAAAGCATGAAAGCTGAATCCTCATACCTAAGACAAAAGGACAAGAGAACACCATGAAGCCTTTTCATAGGAACATCTAATCCCATTCATGAGGGCAGAACCCTAATGACTTGGCCCTTTAAAGTCTTTTAAAGGCCACACCACCACAACACTTACCACTGTTTGTATTAATCAGCTTTTTGACCCTGATCCAAAGTTCCTCACACAGCTTAAAAGAGAAAAGGTTTATTTTGGATTACAGTTTCAGAGGTTTCAGTCCATCATTGGCTGGCTGTAATGTGGAAACTTCATAATGGAAAGGCATACAGGAGAAAAGCCATCAAGTCTCAGCAGCCAAGAACCATAGAGAGTGAAAAGAAACAAAAAGAGCGAGGTTCTGGGGACAGGATACACCCTTCACAGGCCCATTACCAGTTACCTACTTCCTGCAACTAGATGACACCACTTAACAGTCCATTAGCAATGTACTCACCACATGCCACGGATGAGGTTTGGGCTTCCTCCAGATCTAGGCCCCTCTGTAAGTGCTACCTCTGAACATTGCTGCACTGGAAATCAAGGCTTCTATGCTTGAACCTTTAGGGCACACTCCTTATTTAAATCGTAACTTTATTACATCAGGGGATTAAATTTCAATATGAATCCCATAGGGAACGCAAACATTCAAACCATAGTACTATGGAAAAATAAACACAAAAATATTATGAAGCATCAGAGAGCATCATCTCTGAGCCATCTGTAGTCTTCTGGAAACCTCTTAGCACATCCTAGGACCAGGACTTTGTGCCCAGACTCATAAATGTTGACCAGATATTCTGTTAGCCCACTTGTGGCTGCTACGGTTTCCAGCTCTGGGTAGTTCAGTCTGTAAGCAGCTGCTTCGAGAAGCACTCAACAGAAAAATCACTGGAAAGGAACATAAATCAAAACCCAAAAGTACAATTTCCATCTTTGACATAGCTAAATAAAGGAGAAGGTGAGGTGGGAATGTATGGAAATAATCTTGGTTCTGCCTGAGCTCTTTATAATGTACTTAATTTCATGTAAAAAAATGAATTAATGTGTAGGTACAGTTCATTCTCTTATCTTCTCTTAATGTCATCATTTTAAGATACATAAAATCAAAAATCATAGACTTATTTAACATTTCCTTATTATTCTCATGTTTATTTCACAAATGATTGATACAGTTGCTTGGCTATTTTTGCTCTCCTCATTATAATAATTTTTCATCAAATAAATGTTCATCATTTTCTATTCTCTGAAAGGCACTAGTGTAGTTTGTGCTCTTGTGCTCTGACCTCTGAAATATTTCACAATCCAACTAGTGAATGCTGTTCCCTCATTTCCAAACCTAAAATCTAGCAAGTATCTGCTAGAATAGTCTGTGACCTATAAGAAAGGATGCTATTATAAAGCTTATTAGAGGATAGTACCCTTTTCTTTAAAGCCACTAGACATTGAACTTCTTGTTCTAGAGAAAATAAATAATATTTCCTCCAATATTTCTGTATAATTCATAATGTAAGTTATATTAACTCAGGAAACATTTCATTGGCCATATTTAATGTATTCCTAGTATGTGCCAAATACTCTTCTGCAGACAGAGATACAGAATGAAGAAAGTTGTCATAAATTAATGGTAAAGATAGACATGTAAACAAACATATTAAAATTTTTTATTAGCTAAAACAATAGAACTATTAATAAATCCACATGATTTTGGAGAAGGGAGTTCTTAATTATCCCGGAAAACAAGAAGATCCCCACAAGGTCAAATATTTCTAATTACAGGTTTTCGCATCACTATGATGTTATCCTGGATAATATTGGTAACAGAAGCAAGTCTCAATTTATTCAATGTTTGTTTTATTAGTTTATCTCCTCCAATGATACCACTAATGTTAAAATTTTATTGGGGCTTGAAGTAGATAAGATGTCCAGTGGCAGCTGGAGGGGGGACATGTCCTATCTCAGCATTCTCTTGCTTTCTCTTTGTTTCTCCTCCCTTCTCTTCCCAATGACCAGGGGCAATTTGCTTCAGTAACCACCTTTGCTGTCTTCCAGTGTTATGCTGGTTATCAAATTCCCATTCTCCACTGCAACATGAGTGCAGTCAAGGAATGTGGTCCCCCTGCCCAATTCCACTACTTCAGATGATACTCTTGCCTTTTTGAAGAAGCAGGTACTCTGGAATGGCTAAAATCAGGAAGAGAGGGAACTGGGCTCCTTAACTGCATACCCAACAGTCCTAACAAGCTTTCAACCCTATCTCTCACTAAAACAGCATTCCCCAAGTACTCCTTGGGTATTAGTCTAGGAGGAATCCTTTCTGTGTACTAACCTGCCTGTGTTGCACACAGGCCCTGTTGAAATAAAAACTCATTTTAATGTTCCTGTAAACCTGATAGTAATGTATTCAAAAAGTCCTACAGATCTGTTAGAGATTTTTTAACTTCAGCAGTGTGGACAGAGCAGCTTTTCAAAAGAAAAAGCAATAAAAATGCAGAGCTGTTAATAAAAATGAAGAGCTCTGTAGAGCCCTGCACAAGCTGACATCAGATGGTATTTACACTTGCGGTGTTAACTGTTCACATCTAGCAACATATGGTAACATCAGAATTGTAACACACGTTACAATTTGTCAATTTACAATTTTCATGTTACTTGAGCAAAAGAACTGTAGGCTGATTGGCAATGGCTGTTACTATCTGTCATTAAATTCTCAACACTCAGAATAGTATACAGGAAAGGTTTGCAATATTTCCTGAATTCATCAATATATATAGAAAAGTCATTCCTAAGGAAATAAATTTGCTTGAGCTAGAGGCTGTGAAATATTAAAGGTTTTCCAGAATAAGACAACAAGAGTAGTACACAGTGATAAAAGACTAGAGGCAGCATATGCAAAGATGTACACATTTGTGCTTGGTACCGCAATGTAAAATCTCAGATGGGAATTGGAGGAGGGCAGGACAGGGATCAAAAGTAGAACAAGTATGCTGAACATAAGCTATGCCATGCTAAGCGATTACAGCTTTTATCTCACAGTTATGTGATGGCAAGGGAGAAATATGTTCAGATTTTCATTTATCTTAAAAGAACTGCCTTTTATACTCACTATATGCTGTATACCATAGAGAACAGTTGGATGTCTTCCATGATTTGGCAAGAGCAGTTTCCTTGATGCTGTGGAAGGAGACACTTGATAATGAGTAGAACCCTTAATTGGTGCTAAGGACCAGGAGATTTGAAATTGGGCTGTTTTCAAGAGACTTCCCAAAACCTCCTTTCCAGTACATAAGTATGATGGTAAATATAAAATATACCCCATATCTTGGCTCACATATAAAATATTTATCTGTGTGGCTGAGAAACAAGACAGAAACCAAGTGGTACGTGAAAATGCAGTTTTCTGGGTTTTGCAGTTATGGCTAAGCATTTCACAACGGTGGACCAGATGTCAGTAAAAGAAATCCTTTCATAGTCAAGGAGGACTTAAGTTTGGCTTACTGTATGGAGCCATAGATTTAGTAAGTGTCTTTCACGCACAGAAAGAAACAAGGGAAATATATATTCTACTGACTTACTGACTAGAATTAATGGTATAGCGAAATTACAGTTCTAAGAAGGCATTGGGAAAAACGTTTCAGTCTTTAAAACTCAGTGAGGCTGCCTTCAGTCTTCAGATTGAATTCTTTTTATTCTAAACCATTCCAAAAGGGTAGAAATTTCAAATTATGATTGTTAAAACTAGTCCTTTCCCCCCTTATTTCCATTTCCCCTAAAAAAGAAGGATTAAAACATATTATGTATAGGTACAAGTTCCCTATGATGAATCTAATCTTTATATTTGGCAAGTATGCATTAATAAATGTTGAAATCTTAAACTCTACAGAACCAACTCTGAATTCTATAGACTAAGAGGAATATGCAAAGTCAGGTGTGTGTGTGTGTGTGTGGGCACACACGTGTGTGTATGTACTTGTCTGTCTGTGTGCCTGTCTCTATGTCTGTAAGGGGAGACAAAGAGAAAAGGAGATAAATCATACACACAAAATAAACCATTGTGCAAAATGTAGCAAGCAAATATGATGCTAAAATGTACAATCAATGTAATCAATAATCAGCTGACATTTATTTTACAAAACAGCGTAACAAAGAAGTAAAAATACTGAGTATATTGAAGAAATAACTAAGGACATAACTTTCATTCCAGTAGAATATAAAAGTTATTGAATAAAAATAAACACAAAAATAAGATCAGGAATGATAAATAGGTAGACAGACAGAGTATACAGATATGCACATGCACATGCTAACTAGAAACTCTGGAATATTTTGAAGCTGCCATTTTAAAATGCTAAGAATGGAATAATTTCTCAACAAAAGACCCCAGACATGAACTAATGAGTTTAAACAAAGTATTCTAACATGAGGAAATAGATTCCAATATTAAAAAATAAAACAGTTCTTAAAGAACAAAAGGAACTGTGGAGACATACCATTGAATACATCAAATACATTGTTCTTATTTTGCACTGGAAGCTGATTATTTCATCATTCATATTCAAGAGTCTACTGAATATAAAATAATTATTGCCACATCAATAGCTGCTATTTAGTTACTTTGCCTTTCAAGAAATTTACAGGAAGATTTAATTAAGAAGTCTTGACAAAGCAATATATTTCTGAGAAGTTGTATCTTTCAACAAATGGCAACATAAGGTCAAATGTCAATGATTTTATCCTCAAATGACCTGTAATAACCACCCAGAAATGTACTCTCTGGAATTCACAATTGTGAAATGGAATTCACAATTAAAGGAAAAAGCTAATACTAACGTGCTAGAATAGAATGAAAAAAATCACAAAAATTTAAGTACAAATAAATTCAAAGACAGGGATAAAGATAACTAAAATTTTTAAGATCTTATTATGCATTAGAAAAAATTTTCTTGTATCATTGATGTGAGAACTCACAATGGCACAATGAAGGAGGTTCATTCAATAGGTTTGAGTTTTCA